GTGCTGGGATGAAGGGAATGTGAGGATCGTGGAAGATCGGACAATGAGTGCAAGAGTAACGTTACAGTAACGTTATTGTGTGTTCTACTCAAAATTTCCACGGGCGGTTCTTGAATATGGCTCATTTTAACTCCTCTACAGCAGCCATTTAAAGTACAGTCGATCCTCATTCAACAATATAAATGTATAGAGGTACTTGCCAACAAAGGTTATGAAATATTGGAGGTACTAAGCCTAGAATAACCTACTGTACAACTACAGTAGAGGGATTATACAAGGAAAAACTTGTGATAACATCACATGTACAAAGCATTAGACAGCTCATTATGGTAAAACTATATCAGTAATTACACAAAACAAGTAAACTAGCTCGAGTTATAATACTAGTTACTCGGAGTAGTATTAACGAGCCGCAACCAATGACATGTACGGCTACAGTTTGCATGCGGTGCTGGTGGGCATCGTCGTGCCGGAAGTGACACTATGGTCACGTTGGCCGAATAGCAAAAGGTATGTGGTTGACTACCGGTGTAATGCACTCCACGACTTGCCTTGTCAATACAAGACTAACGATTGACATCTTGAGTGGTTATTTGAGAAAAAGATATCTATGATAAAAAGATATCCCATTTGCGAGTACCAGGCCTTGATGGTGGGCAAGAACGCCTTCTTGACGTCGTGACCGTTGAGCTTAAACGTGAGGGTGAGCAGGTCGTTGTCGACAGTAAACGGATATGGGTGCAAAGCGATTGCCTTGACCGTCTCAACGCACTGGAGTCGCGGGGCTTTGCACACGGCGCAATGTCCTTGTGCACCGCTGCCACCACCTACATGACCAATCACAATCAACTCTCAAACGTCTTTGCCCTCTTTAACGACATGATGGTGTTCCTACCTCGTCATGTTGACACAACACGATATCCGAGCTAGGAATCCCCAACAACTTTGCCATTCAACCTTCATCGATTCTCCAACTTCCCTTCAAAGTGAATATTATATTATATTTCATGGGTTATTCGT